TTATCCTATACTGTTGAAATATGTCTGAACCCAGAGTGTCAGAAGGCTTCCAAGGTCAGGGCAACCACTGGGGACAAGCATTATCAAGCAGCCCCTGTGGGGGTAGCGATACAGTAGTGTGGGCTATATAAAGGATTACTGTATATGAATTATTGCCAGTCTACACCAGCAGTCCCTTGGGAGTCTTTGGGGTCGGAGGGGGTTCATCCATTGCTGTTTAATTCCCTTATTAGCAGAAGCCGAGATATGGATGTTCCATTGAAGGACACTTTCAATTATAGACATGTAGACTGTTTCCACAGCTTCCTGATGCAGGTAGTGTAGAATGAGAAACGGGTCACGTAATGTTCCTGCCCCATGGGTAGAACGAGCATTTTTTTTTTTTTTTTTTTTTTAAAGGAAAAACGATCGGCACTTTATATATGATAAGGTCAAGCTGAACCTTGGGCTATTTGAAGGTAGGGTCTGTGGAAATTATGTTTAACCAATGCATCCCTAACTGTTAATCCTTCATGTAAGATTTGAGGATCCAGCCTTTATTTCTGCATTTATATTTATCAAACAAAATTTAAGCATTGTGTCAGAAAAAGTACCACCTTTTAATAAACATTTTGTTGTACATGTTGAATATTATTTAGTAGCACCTGAAAAGTCCCACTGCCCTATAGATCAGTGTCTATAACCATTTTTTATATTTTTTTTTGCAATGCATTTTTTTTGCAAACAGAAAAAATGCCTTCCCAAGCTTTTACACTGAAAATCTCAAAATTCCTAAAAGACACCAGCTTTTCGGTGTGAATAGCAGCAATGACTAGGCACTGTAGACCTTGAAATACAGATCTTGTTGTGCACAGCCCTATGTGCTTCTCCTTGCATTCAGGGGTTCCCATGATAGATTTAAAAAAAAAAAAAAAAAAAAAAACCCACAAATACAAAGTAGATACAATCAAAGATTGGATGTGTTTATTGGTTCTGGATGTACAAATGGCCAAAGGGGAATAAAAAGGGAAAGATTTGCAGGGCTCCACCCACTATCCTAAAAACGTCAAAACAATCCCCTTATTTTGGGATATATGATGAACTGAAACCTGTAAATACCTTCTTTTCTAAAAATGCTCTGCTGGGCTTCACTCTGGTGGAGGACTTCTTAATTTCTTTTGGCCCACGTCTTAACGGTTTCATGATGGCCAAAAAGCCTGAAATAGCTGTATGCCATTTGGAATGAATGACTATAAGGCTGTATCTGTACTATAAACCAGTTCTGGAGGTACATTGGGGCATAACTAGATGATTGGCATGGTTCCAAACACTATCCTAAAATATGGAAAAATCTACTTGTTTTAGGGTTTTGTGACAGAATGACACATATAACCATTTTCTGTTCTATGAAGGCTCTGCTATGCTTCTATAAATCGATCTTCCAAAATGTCAGTTCACACAGTAATCAAAGCATAACTAAAAGGAAAACTTTTTTTTTTTGCTGATTTTGGACAGAGTGGAGAAGGATTAGAACACCTGTCAGGTTTTTGCCATCTGCACCCCTATTCGAGAGATTCACTCTCTCCATTTGTAACATTTAACATTATCATCGAGAGTGAAAACCAAACACCTAGCGCATTATCCAAGGTTTATTAAAAAGTATAAAAAGGACAAAAAAAACTCTCACAAACCAAGTGCATGTATAAAGCCTGCAAGGCCACAGAGATGGCCGAAATGATGGCAGAATGTCCAACTGCTGGTATGGTTGGCCTTCTGATGCGTTTCAGGGATGTGTCCCTTTCCTCAGAGCTAGCTTGAGTATGTTTTTCGTCCTTTTATACTATTTTAATAAACCTTGGATAATGCGCTAGGTGTTTGTGCCACCTGTGTGCTCTCTTACCACCAATATGCCCCATTCTAGTGATTTGAACCATGCTGCAACCACATGCAATGCCATTTAGAGGGTTAAAATAGGCAGTGAGGAGGCGACATATCGCTTCCTCACAGCTTGTCAAATGCCTCTGAAAAGTGTTCCGAGCATGGGTCAGTTTCCAGATGAGCGGCAGTCCTTGCTACATGAGCCCTAGATGAATAAGTTGGCGATAGAAGCCGACTGGTTCCCATGGACAGCTGCTCCAGTTGGAATACATATTGCCCATATGTGGCCACAGTTGAGTCCGCCTATCAGTTGTCAACCACTGTGCTAGACATTTGCATTTGTGTAGCAATAACCTTTAAGAGCCCATTTCATTCTCAACAGCACAAAAAACTCCATACCAACTCATTTTTCAAGATCCATTCATGGTTTGTTTTTGTTCTGCCTTGCCTTGTGGTAAAGACTGGTATAAAGCAGATTTAAGAAAGATTTCTCCACAACTTGTGTTGTAAAGCTTTTTTTTTCAGTGAAATTTTCCACTACTATGGATGGTCTACACAAGGATTGTAAACATTGAGGCCCCCGTTGCTAGGCATTTCTGTGGAAAGATTACCCAATATGCGCAATGTGGCGGCTCACACTAAACCATGTTTAAGATATACAACACCAGAGAATTACTCAACCGGCTTCTCCCATATGCTTTCTGGCATTATAAGAACAGACAGATGAGCAAATCAACAATAGATCACATAGAGCTGCATATGGAAGCGTTATAGATCTTTCCTGGCTTGCACCGTGCCTTGCAGATGGACAGCTTGGCATGTGTATTCATTCAACACATTGCCGCTTCGGTCTGCTTTCTTACACCGGCTAGGCTGACATCCAGCACACCAAGCCCTGATTTATAATACCCAGGTGGAGGGTGTAAATCTCCAGGATGTTGTACGCTGTAATATGTTGAATGCAAAGCTCACATCTGCACAGATTCCCTATTAATGTTTATAGAGGTCTAAGCTTCAGCTTCCAGTTTTATACATATGGTTCCCTTTTCCACGGGTTTGGCCTCACCCCAAGGATGCGTCTGATGTGCGGTTAACCGTTTGGTGACCCACCAGAGAATTCTGCAACACAGATTGTGACTTCACATCAAACACTAAACATAACTCCCATGGCAGATTCTCTCCAAGTGGGTTTGATTTTCTTTTTATAGTGATGAGGACTTTATACGGACAATAGAAGATTGAAACCTAACTCCAGCCATTTTTTTTGGACATAGAAAGAGTTAAATGTCTGTCAGGTTTTTTTTTCTCTCTCCGCTGACCCCATTAGGAAGATTTTCCCACACTTCCTATATTTGTAACACATGTATAAGCAATGGGGGAGTAGTCACTGGGACAGGAAGGCACAGGCAAAAAAAAAAGACCAGAAAACCAAAAACACACAACGTCAGAACTTCTGATCAGTCCTTTAAAAAAATAAAAAAAAAAAAAAAAAGGTTTGTGTCCTCATTGAAGAGGAAAAGATTCTGCCCAGTAGGGTCATGTATGGCAATTAAAAACTACAACAGGCTCTAACCCTTACCTGCTCTATCTACAAATAAGTTGGCTGCTTTGGGTTTAAACATTTGAAGACTTAAGTGATAAAGGCTTGATTTAAAAAAAACAAAAAAAAACAAAAAAAAAACAAACAAACATATGTTATACATCCTTGCTCTGTGCAGTGGTTTTGCATAGAGCAGCCCTTATCCTCTTCTCAGGTCCTCCACTGGCACTCCTCAGTCACTACACAGCCAACCCCGGTATTTAGTTTTTTTGTTTGTTACGAGAAAATGTTAAATAAAATAAAACTCTGGGGGTAGATGAAATAGTTAGGCCAGTGTTAGGGTCAAGATTAGGTTCAAAGGCTGGGGTAAAGCTCATGGCAATTGCAAAAAAATATAAGCAGCTAAATTTTTTTTTTCTGTAACCATTTTGTGCAAAGAGCAACGCAAAACAAAAATTCTACTCCTGATGATCACAGCGATACCACATTTGTATATTATGGGTTTGTAGTAGTGCCCATTTTGTTTTTTCATCCCAACACACTGACAAAATTATTTTTCCTTTTTAAATCTTAGCAAAAAAAAAAAAAAAACAAACGCTAATCCTGACCTTTGACCCCAGCCTTTGAACCTAATCTTGACCCCAACACTGGCCTAACCATTTCATCTCCCCCAGAGTTTTATTTTATTGAACATTTTCTCGTAACAAAAAAACAAAACAAAAACTAAATACAGGGTTTGGCTGTGCAGTGACTGATCACTGTGACAGCCAATCAAAGCCTATAACAGCGATCAGCTAATCAAGAACCAGTCCTCCTAGTTCCTGATCATGAGTATGAAACCTGGAGCCATCGGTGACAGCTTAGTCTTCCACACAAACACAGTAGAGCATATATGCGCCCCATGTCCGCTGGACACTCAGCAAAAAGGGGTTAAAGTGGACTCAATAAAGTGAAGCGCTCATATGTTCGAGAACATCTAGATATGATTGTGCCCCAGCATTACCCCTATTGTGGTCTCTGTATTAAGGAATTTCCCCCTCACTTCCTGTCTAATGACATGTCAGAAGACAGGAAGTAAAGAGAAATCTCTTCAACAGCATTTAAAACATGACAGAAGCTCCAACCACCCTTCCCCATCCAATCTAAATAAAAAGTCTTGGCAGCAGTTGTGCTTTCAGGAATGATACCTGGCCTTTCAGAAATGTGCAATGTATATAAGCCAAGATAAGATATGGTTTCTTTGTTATGTTTGTCTAATGGATTGGCCCCAAAATGCAGAGCCCAGTAACCAGGAGCGATTTCAGGACAATACAATTGGCAACCTTTGCACCTGATGAGAAATTGGAGGAAAAAAAAATATGACAGCTGCATTCTGGTTGGTCTACCCAATAGACTTTCCTCAGTTTGGAATAAATCCAAGCCCATTGTGTGTCTGCTCCTGTGACTGATAGAAATTATAGTCCAAACAAATGGAAGCCATGTTTAACTTAATCAGATCACGGTTAATCGAGAACAAGAGACAATGAAACACATGTGAACAGAAGGAGTTTTATCCCTTGACTCCTCCCAGCCTGGAAAGAACTCAGCAGTTATTGATAGGTACCTTTGCCATCTGTGCTTGGACTCCAGTCGCCTTCAGAGCTGAGACCGCTTTCTGAGCAGCTGCCGGGCTGTCAAAGTCTACAAATCCATAACCTGCAGATCATAAAAATGACAATTTATACACATATCAAAGGAGGCAGCTTGTGCGCACAGGCTGCTAAAACATAACCATCCTACTCGGCGAACAGAAGAGATGGCAAAAGTGATTTACCGGTCTAGAATAAGGATGACATAAAAAGGAACTACAAGATCTGTTATTTGTTCCAAAATTTCTAAACACATAATGCCATTTCAAAAAGTTAGAAGCGACGCACTTATAGCTTCTAAAGGACACCCTTAGGACTTAGTACTGCACTTAAAAGCAGATAAAGACAAAAGAAAAATTAAAGTGAAATTCCAGACTAGAACGGTCTACTCAAATCTGCCCCCACCCCCTTCTAACTCCTATTCTAACTATCCTGCAGGTGAAGAAGCTTCTACTTACCTATTCTCAAGGTGCTATGGTCCAGTCATGTGACCTCCCCAGAGGCCAGCTTCAGGGGAGAGAACAGTGGTGACAACGGATGAAATGCCTTTTCTCCTCACCCCCTGAATCCACTGCTGGGAGCCAATCATGTGACTGGACTGAAGCTCCCTGAAAATAGGCAAGTATCATTCTAATGGGTAGTTCAAATAGAGTTAGAAGGGGGTGGGAGCAGATTTAAGAGTAGATAGTTATAGCCTGGAATTCCACTTTAAAGAAGCGTCACAAGAAGTTCAAAATATTTGTTTACTCCCCCAGGAAACCCAGTGCACATAGCACTTGGTCCTGTTCAGATCTGTGCAGTGGTTTACAATTAAAATACTTTTTTGTGCTGATCCCAGGCTGAAGCCCAATTTATAGGTGTTCCTATGGGGTGGGGGACTACAGCCAGCACTGAAGCCAAACGCTCTTCATTCTAACATCTGCAGCTCTGCCATCTAATCTTTCAACCCTGTGCTTTTTCTGCTCTACCCCTCTGCCATCTTCCTTGTACATGGAAGAGAGTGAATCCAGACCCTCATTCCAGCTATCATAAGGAAAAAGGCTACAGTACTAGCTGGTGGCTTGTGTTGCTGTGAATGATGGTGCACTGGAAACTAGCTCCACAACACCACACCTAGGCTACTACTGTAATCTCCCCACAATAAGTTGGGCAGGTCTAGAGACCATGGTCTGAGGGAGAGTAGAGCAGTAGCTGTGTGTAGTTGGGAGCTTGTGCTTTTGTATGTGATGGTACTTCTCTTTAGCATGCCGTCATTCACAAAACCACAAGCAGCCAGATAATGCTCTAGACTCTCTCCGAAACTTGGGGTCCAGAATGCATTAATCTTGCTCACATGCTCTGGGATTCGGTTACCTTGGCCCAATCGCTTCCCCGTACTTGCTCTACTCATGGTACTCCATGTTCCATCCTGACAGCTGTCAGATGCAGGGATGGGGCTTATCCAGGCTCCGATCTGTGTGCACCGTCACCATCCTTCTTGTGCACCTGACATTCAGACCGCATAGGATTTGTCTCCTGAGCAGCGTCGGACAGCAGTGGGGGGAAGAGGGGGCACGCTGTTAACCATGCAAGCTCAACAACCACTATATGAATCTGAACACCAAAAACCATGCACACTGGATCCCCTGTGAGTTTCAATAAGCTTTTTCAACTTATGGAGATTTCTTCTTTAATACCGCAATGGCTTAACGATAGATATATCTATTTAATACAGCTAGTGTAAGTACCCAGTTTTGACTTGGGATCAGTCTCTTAGGGGTAATCCCCTATATTGCAGCACTCAAACTGGAAGAGGCAACAATAGGAGCAAATTAGTAGTGTTGCAGTTCACATAAGCTGGCAAGTTATAGTCTGGCAGGGGCAGAGAGAGAAGATATCACTGTCCAATCACAGACTTGGGGCAGGGAGGTGACCAGACTGCAAAGCTTAACTAGAACAGAGAAATTTCAGGTCACCAGTGCGGCTCTGCTGTGTGGTAGGACTGTGTACATCTTAGGACTGGATGAACAGCAATACAAACCATTCCTATACTAGTGTATAAGTAGGTAATAGAGCGCTGGGAACATATAAGTGAAGCAGCTAGCATAAAAGGTAACCTTGGGACCCAGATAGAAACATAGAAATAAAATATGCAGCGCTTTTAAAAATTAAATATGAACAAGCAGAAAATCAGAACATGAACAGCATAACTGCATGACAAACTCAGTCCATATTGCATGGTGCGATAAAGTGATAGGTGCAATTGTCCCAATAATCCATGTTCAGAGAAATTCGTGACTCTTGTGATCTCGTGATTTGTACAAAAAATGCACTAACCAGATAGCGCAATAAATGCGCATGGAGCAATTAAGACCCGCTCCTGGTGCTCTGGACTTGTAATATTAGGAGGATGTCATCTGCAGGTTTGGCCACCAGATGTCATCAATCCAGGTATATTGGTAAGTCATCCACTAGAGAGATCATCAGCGGGGGAGGGGGTGATCATACATCATTCCCAAATAGGCGTAACCTTCAAAAACGGGCTCCCATACAATAGATGAGACCCAGAGAAGCCTCTGATAGTGTAGTATGTCTTTAATAGGTAAAACTTACACCAAGTACAATTGAAGGAAAAAACTTACATCAAAGCAAAGTCTGGCCACCAGGGCGTCAGTCAGGATGGCCTTGTGGTATGGATACAAAGGTCAGGGGCACCTCACTAACGCGTTTCGTGTGAAAACACTTCCTCAGAGGGAGTGTGCCCATGGTGAATGATAATGCTATAAAAGCATCCATACCACAAGGTCATCCTGACTGACGCCCTGGTGGCCAGACTTTGCTTTGATGTAAGTTTTTTCCTTCAATTGTACTTGGTGTAAGTTTTACCTATTAAAGACATACTACACTATCAGAGGCTTCTCTGGGTCTCATCTATTGTATGGGAGCCCGTTTTTTTGAAGGTTACGCCTATTTGGGAATGATGTATGATCACCCCCTCCCCCGCTGATGATCTCTCTAGTGGATGACTTACCAATATACCTGGATTGATGACATCTGGTGGCCAAACCTGCAGATGACATCCTCCTAATATTACAAGTCCAGAGCACCAGGAGCGGGTCTTAATTGCTCCATGCGCATTTATTGCGCTATCTGGTTAGTGCATTTTTTGTACAAATCACGAGATCACAAGAGTCACGAATTTCTCTGAACATGGATTATTGGGACAATTGCACCTATCACTTTATCGCACCATGCAATATGGACTGAGTTTGTCATGCAGTTATGCTGTTCATGTTCTGATTTTCTGCTTGTTCATATTTAATTTTAAAAGCGCTGCATATTTTATTTCTATATTCCTATACTAGTATTTCAGTAAATCCCCTATTAAAATACAGATGAAAATTCCTGAACGTTTGAAATTACCCTCCTCCTAAAATCTCATGTGCAGCAGCACTCAGACAGGGAAAGGGAGGGGCAGCACTGAGCCAATCAGGGCTCTCCTGCACACTGCAGTCAACATACTGACTGATAGAATAGATTGGTGACCCAAAATAGAGCTCTGCTCCACTTTTAACCAAATTGAAGGCTGGGGGGGGTGGGAAGATGGATTTAAAAATAGTTTTTTAACTACAGTACACTAAGTGAGGTCATCAACCTAGCAATGCCGTCTATCAAGAGCGCCTAAAACAATTACAAATTCTTTGGCAGTTAACACATTTCTTCTATAAGTATGCATTTCACCTTTATATTTAGCTGTTTGACTGTAGGGAAGCTTTGACGTTTTCCTGGGTTAAGAAAAAGTCTGCTAAACTGACCTTGTTTGCAGATAGCAAGCACCATCAGGGCCTGCAGACCATTCTGTTAACTTGAGTGTGCTTCCACTGTGCCCCACAGCATCCTATATTGCAATGTAGCATCTTATCTGACTGAAACACCCACACTATAGTGCCAACAACCAAAACGAATACAGGCAAAAGAAAAAAAAAAAAAAAAAAAAATCCAATGCAAACCCATGGTCTGTATGTGGCCGACAGACAAATCAAGTCCTAACAATTGTTTCAAATGTTTCCAAGAACCAACACGGCCTTGTAACCAGACGAGATGAAGATGGATTCAGTTTGTGGGAGTTTAGACTGGTGTCAGAATTTCAACCCTGTACACAAAAATCTCTAGTAATACCTCATTCTCCTAGAGTCACTACACAAAGTGGAAATGCATGGTAATCTTGTGTACAAATGTGTTGTAATTTTTTGTAGCACAGACCCGAGGCTGACCGGGCGGCTTGGTCCCAGGTTGCATTCCCTGATAGGCACACGGTAGTTCAGTCACTCAAATCAGAACGGGCTGTACATGGCTTTTGTGGTTTTTGTTTGAGAACGGGGATACGGTGAGCCTAGGGATACTCCAAAAAACTTCCATAACTTGCAGTAGAGGACTCTAAATCTAAAATAATCCTTCAGGGTGAAGGCATCCCTTTTAAAGCAAAGGTAAACTGGTACTAAACAGGGCCTGCTCAGTTGTAAATGTACAAAGGAAATGCTCTCCCAAAAAGAGGCCAAAGTTTCTAAGTTTCTAAATCCAGAAGGATAGTACTCACAGGGTTGTTTTACTAACACCAGAGAGTACAAAATCTGGTGTAGCTGTACAAGGTAACCAATCAGCTTCTAAGTTCAGCTTGTTCCATTAAGCACTTGCCTCCAGAAGATTTACCACCCCCCCCCCCCCCCCCCCCCTCATGACCAGACCATTTTTTTCAATACGGCACTGCATTATTTTAACTGACAATTGCATGGTCATGCAACGCTGCACCCAAATGAAATGTATGGAGCTTTCTTTCGGTAGTATTTGATCACCTCTACGGTTTTTATTTTTAGCTCTATAAAAAAAAAAAAAAAAAAAAAAAGCCAATTTTGAAAAAAAAAAAAAAAAATACAAGACTTTTTACTACAAAAACATATCCAAAAAAAATTTTTTTTAAATCTAAATTTCGTCAGAAAAATTTAGG